ACAAGGTTGTGCTCAAAGAAGCAAGTCGGGTCATTAAAACTAATGCTTAAATTTTGATAATTTTTACACATAAACTAATACGTATTGTTAAATTTTGATTAAAATGTTCAGAAATGTACGATAAATACATAATGAAGAAGCATACAATAAAAAGAAAATGACCGTTTCATAATCACGTCAAATTTAGACAATGGATTGAGGACACCCACTTAAAGTTAAATGGCACATTATAAAAAAGGGGGGGGGGGAGAGAGAGAGAGGCAGAGAGAGAAGATGTTTTAATGCAATATAATAGGAAATGGTTGCATAATCTTTCCGAACATAGGCATTATAAAAATAAAAAATCTACTGTGAAGTGAAAAAAAAATAAAAGTAGAGTTTTTATGACACTTTTTTCCATACAAATGATTGAATGTGGTCTAACTTAAGGAAATTAACATGATTTTTTTTAACAAATAACCGATTTGATTTTTTTAAAAATATTTATAAACTGGTTATCTTATTTCTGTACTTAGAATCGTATGTTTTGTTTTGTGGTTCGTGGATAATTAATTTATTTTAAATTTTATTAATAGACAAAGGAAATATTTCAAATGAGCAGCTTTATGAGTCATTCATGGTTTAAATGGTTCGACACTTATTGTTTAATTTCACGTTAATTTTAATAATTTTAAACATATAAATAATGTAACAGAATTATTGAGCATGTAAAAAAAAACTTAATTTCATATTTTAAAAACATAAGATTTTGTTAAGAGGAAGAAGTAATATCATGGAAATATATGATTCTTCCAAGTAACTATATAATTCTTGGTTTAAATTTTAAATCACAAACACATAATGTTATGATTAGTAAAAGATATTAAACATTTGTACAATATTTATGTTGGAGAACACAGTAATGGGAATATAAAAAATTAAAGTAACGACACCTAAGTTCATTGCATTATGATAATGTTTCCTTTATGAAAAGTTGGACATTGTGGAGTTATTTGTATATGGATGAACAAAATGTCAAGTCAGGATTAGTCATTATTATCAAAAGGAAATTTTTTTGGCTTTCTAAGATTTTTTTTGGTTTAATTTTTGTTTTCTTATCATTTAAAACAGCATCATCAAGGTTCTTATCGTCGTTCTGTTCCTCAAAAGTGGGTATTCCTAGTACTCAATTGACATTGAGAAACAAGGAAACTAACTAGAAAGAAGGATTTGAAAGTGCTTAATATAAAAACTAATTAATTAATTTGTATGGATTAAAGATAATAAATGGATCATGCTCTTCTTAGAATAACTGCACATAATAAAAAATTATATATCAATTTATAAATTAAGTAAATTAGTTTAGAAAAAGTTATAAGCATGAGATATAAAGTAAAATAAATTATTATATTTATCATAAAATTTAACTTTCCAACTAACCACTGTATTAATAACTAGGAGTATACCATGATATGGCTAATGAAAGATAAATATGTGTGCGTGTGTAAATATTGATATATTTATTTGAGAAAAAGATAATAAAGTATTCTAAAAATCGCTAGATGAGAAATTAGAGTGGATAAATTTTAAAATCTCAAATTAAATTTTTAACTATTTTAAAATTTTATAAAATGATGCAAACCCCCTTCACTCTCTCTTTTTCTTTTAAGAAGTTCACCTCAACACCTTTGACCGAAAGCTAGCCGTTGGAGCTTTGGTGGCATGTTGCTAGAGCTTTGACAACCAGTGATTAAAGCTCTGATGGCTATTTTTATTTAATTATTAATTACTCTAGTTTTGTAATTAACTATTTTCATTTCTAAAAATTTGGCAACTACTCTGATCTATTTATCGATTATTTTAGTTTTGCTGTTAGTTACTTTTGTTTCGAAAATTCAAAAAATGCATTAGGTGTTGAGGAGATTTAGTGATTGCCTTTGTTTAAAAAGTAATCACTAGGAATACAACGGCAATGATGTCACTTTGCAACAATTAAAAATTTTAAAATAACACAAGAGGTGTGATTTGATATTTTGAAACTTATCCACCATATTATGTCATTTAGGATTTTGAGAATATTTTTATATCTTTTTCCCTATTTATTTTTAAGGAAAAATTAATCTTTTAGTTTTATATAATTTTGACATAGTTGTAATTTTGTCCATATATCGTAACTCAGAGTAATTAAGTTTTTATAATTTTAAATTGATATTGAACTTTAACTTGATACAATTCAGTTCTTGTAATTTTGACCATTTAAAATTGAAAAATTATAATCAGATTCTAAGGAAATGATTTAATTACCTTAAAATTCATCAACAATTGAAAAGTATGAAATGATATGTTCTAGGATAAATAATGACAACAGGTTCATACCAATTACTGGTTATTGATTTTTTTAATAATTAAATTCCTTTCTTAGGATCTCATAATGAATCTCCCTATAAAATTTTAGTCCCTAAAATTCATAAAATACATAATTTTAGTCTTAAAATATAGTGGCTAATTTTTTTAAATGATTTAATTATATGGATTGAGTTACATGGTGTCAAAGTTCAGAATTGAGTAATAACATAATTAAAACTCTAAGTGTTGAGTTACTTAAGTTAAAGTATATGGATTGAGTTGTAATTAAATCAAATTAGAAATATTATATATGTATGTGCGTGTGTACATATCAAATCAAAGTCAGTTTTGTATTCTTGCATAAGATTTGAGATGAGTCATTATAGTTCTCTATTATTTTTCTATGTTTTAGATTATTTTTATGATAATATTAATTGAAGTTTAATTTTTCGCAGGCCCATCAATACAATAAGATATATTTTCATTACTTATAAATTAATAATTTGATAGGCAATAATTAATAGGGAGAAGGGCAAGAAAATAATACCATGATCTTTTTATTGCCATCAATAATACCATGATATTATCAATAAAATGAAAATTTATATAATTCTTGATATATTTGTTTTCGATCTTAAAATGATAATTATTAATTTTAAATATTTAATAAATGTGTAACTTTTACTTTAGATTAGGGTGGGTCTCGTGTTTGGATGAGACCTGAGATGGGCACTCTTTTTTATATTAAAGCATATAAAAAAATAGTTTTTAGCAGAGTTGGTTGTAAAATATCCTTAGATCACATCAAAAGTAAAAATAGTGATATTGATAATACTAGATTACTAATTGAATTTTAATATTTTGTACCACTAGGACAATAAGATATATTTTTTCAGTACTTATAAATAGTATAAACTGTCATACATTTAATATTATAAGTTAAAAAATTACTGATATATTGATATTCCAGCCCTTTTTTGGATATAATGGACTTTCTTATTCTCATTTTATCACAATAAAAGTTAGAAATTAGAAATGTTATTTTTATTTCACTAAAATAAAATATAAGCTTATCTTCATCTGATTCAATTAAATCATTAGAGTAGATGCTCATTTCATAATAAAGTAAATTTGAGTGTAAACAATAGATGACATATTAAAAGGTGGACGCGTGGCAAAGATATGTTAAAATATGTTGACTCTGGATGTTGGCTTGAGATAATTTGTTACCCTTCAACCAACACATTTTGACATCTCCATTTGTGTTCTCTTTTTAAGTTACCACAATTGATTGGATCCGGGTAATCATTTTTTAAGGTTTACCCAAAAAAATAGTAATAATTTTGTTTTCATTGGAAAAACTCACCAATATATATATATGATGTTTAATTAAAGCAAATATATTTTTTCTCCGATTTTATGTTAGGAAGAATTGGAACTTAGAATATTATTGTAATAATGTTATCTTTATTTATGAGGAAAAAGACAAACAAAAATTTTAAAAATTATTAAATCTCAAATCAGAATTTATTACTACACTTTAATAGGTTTTGATAATATTGACTTACAAATAATAAAATATTTTTATAAGAACATCTGATTTAGAATTTTGCAATTTCTATGTTTTTTTTATCATTTCCCCTTATTTATGTCTAAATATTCGAATATGATTTAATCACATAGGATGTCAAATATTAGATAAACTTCAAACTTCATCATTCAAAAAAAAAACTTCATCTATTCTTATCATTTGAACTAGTTTTAATATTTTGTAATTCTAACTCTTAAATTAACAATATTATTTTCTAGCAGTTGGTTTGGGTTTTTAAAAGAAAAAATTGTAAATAAAGACCTCCCAATATATAAAGTTATGATTTGTGACTCTAAATTTGAAAAATAGCTTCAGAGGATCCAGTCTCAAATTGTAAATATTAAATCTTGGTGAAATGTCTAAAACGTCTTTCAGCCAAATGACAAGTTGACTATAAAAAATAACAAGTTTACTTTAATAAATGACAATTTCAGTAGATCAAATCACAATTTGACTGAATGTATACCAAATAACAAGTTGACTATGAGAAATAACAAATTTACTTTAAAGAATGCCAATTTTAATATATCAAATCACAATTTGGCTGATGAGCATTTCAAACATTTCATCAAAATTTCATATTTACAATATGAGACCAAGTCTTTATTTGTAATTTTTCAAATTGAGGGTTTCAAATCCTAATTTCATATATTGGGGGTTTTATTTGTATTTTTTTTTTTAAATAACACTTTGAAACAGGTTTTTTAGTTTTTTAAAACATCAGAGGTTAATTTTGAGAATAACAATAACAAGGCCCTCCTGAGAATGAAAACCAGGACCTATCTGCATTAATTGAAAAATCAGGGGTCCATTTTGGGATTTTGAAAGCCCATAACCTTAGAAGCAATAAGCCGTGAAAACAACCTCCAGTTGCGGGGTTGCCGTCAGAATGGTCCTCATCTTACAAGAAAAGGAAAGAGGACTCAAATGGAAATAACCACAAAGCTCAGGGCAGAGACGTAGAACTAACTCTTTTTTCTGGTTTTGCATATTAGAGAGAGAGAGAGAGTCAGCTTCTTCCCATTGTGTCTTTGTTTCATAAACACAGCGCCTCTTCTCCAAAGCTTCCTTTGGAAACCGTCTCTCTCATCCTCCTTCTTCCTCCCTTTCTTCTCTTAATCTCTATCTCTTCATCACCTGAAGCTTTTCTTTATCTTTCTCTATATATTTGTTTGTATGGGTTACGATTTCGAGCAATTGTGACTTCGTTTTGGTTTTCTTTGAAGAGTGTGGGTTCTTTATGGCCACCGCACCGGTGAAGTCTCAGCCTCTCCACAACTTCTCTCTCCCTTTCTTGAAATGGGGCGGCAAGAATCACACTAACAGCAACCATCGGTTTCGCCGTCCTGTCTCCGGTGAGTCCTCATCGTCACAAGCTTTTGCCGCCGATCACAACTCCGAACTAGAGGCAGAACCCGAAACCCGTGCTCCACGGGTCGGATCGAGGGCCTCCAGGAACCGGTTTGGGCTCTCTTCATGCTATCTCGGGGAGAAATCTCAGAAGCAAGAGCAGCAACCGCAGCCTTTGGAGGGAGCTAGCTACAATGAAACTAACGATGAGGTTGGAGGTAGAAAGAGGGAGAATGAAGACGCTGAAGACGCCGAAGCTGACGGAACGGCGCAGAAGCCATGGAATTTGAGACCGAGGAAATCGATTTTCTCCAGAGGTACGGGTGAGATCGGTGTGGGAGGTCCGAGGAATGGAGAATTGCCGGAAAACGGTTCATTCGCTGCCACGGGTCATTCGGCTCAGCAGAATGAGAACCCTCCACAGCCGAAATCGCTTCGCTTGAGGGGTTACGCTGAGATGCAGAATACGGAAAGAAAGGAGAAGAGGAAATTCTGGATCGCCTTGTCGAGGGAAGAGATTGAAGAGGACATATTCATTATGACTGGGTCAAGACCCTCTCGGAGGCCAAAGAAAAGGCCAAAGAATGTGCAGAAACAGCTCGATGTAAGAGTTTCATTTCCTTCAAGTTTTTTTGGTTTCTAATCTCTGTTACATCGTACACGCGTTCAATTATCTTCTTACTTGATTGTAATTGTACAGTTTCTTAAACAAAGAACATCTCTTTTTAAATTTCAGAGCGTTTTTCCTGGATTGTGGTTAGTGGGGTTCACTGCAGACGTTTGCAAGGCGGCAGATACTGCAGCAAAGGTTCTGTCCTTTTCTCTCGTTCTCTAATATTTGTGATCGATTCTATACTTAATATAGTTCTTCGAAGTTATAGGGATTGTTGACCTCTGTTTACTGAATTTCCAGTAGCAAAGTATGCCTCCAGGCTTAGGATTCTGAACTGGATTTCGTGATTGATCTTATTTTAGACTTTTAGCTTATAATCCGTTAGAGCGATGGTTATGATTATTTGATGATGGTCCTTTCTATCAGAAGTAGAGAAGCTACAGCGAATTGCAGTTTGCCAACAACACAGTTTGGTGGCCGCGGTAACTGGGACCTGTAATGGAGGTATAAATGCGCAGAATTTTGTAGAGCGCAAAAGATTTGCGAAATGGGTATGTTGAAAAGGGGGGAAAATTGGGATGATAGTTATTATGTATCGTCCAATAGGCTAAGATGTAGATTGAAAATTTAGTAGGTTTACTTATCCTAGTAGTGTTCAACTGTTTATCTATTACTATTAGGCAGTAAGAAAAACTTGTGAATTCATAGAACGAATCCAATATTGATTTTAAGATCGTTTGATTGATGTTTTGCTGTTGGGATCATCTTTGATTGAATGAATTCTGAGTCATCAGCTGCTAGATCAGTAGCAAGCATACTGTTAGTTTGCGGGTCCCAAGATCAATGCTGGATTTATTATTGAGGGCACTGCATGATTCTTAGTGAGTTTGAAGATTAACAGAAAGAGTGTTTGCTTTCCCTTTTATATTTCCATGACCATAGGCTTCACTTTCAAACTGTGAATCTGATGAAGTTGCTCTACTCAATCTGGCATTGGTATTTGGTAATCGTAGAAATCAATCACTTTGCATGAAAACACGAAAGTTAATCACATTGGCTGAAATAAACTTTACAGCAGCACCGAATTATTCTTGTTCTTCTTTCCTACTAGTAATATCTACATATTGTCCCTTTTTTTCCAAAAAGGAAAAAGTATTTGGTGGGGCACTAGGTCAGTATATAAAACTTTTGAAGATAGACATGTTGCTAGACTATTTGCTTTTCCTCCGTATTTCTTCCATGAGATCAGATCTGCTGTGCAGTTTGTGACTCAACTGATTTCTACTTCTTTAAAAACTTGGAATTACTTGTATTATTTGATATGTATTGAAGAGGAGTCAAGCTCAGGAAGATTAGACTATTAAATATTCATATCAATGGGGAAGTTTTGTTACCAAGTTCCTTTGGTTTGCCCTGCTACCTTCACTAAAGGTTGTTTTCCAGTCTTATTCAATTTGCCTTCATTGAGTCATTCAGCACCAAACTTAACTTTTTAAGGGCTTAATGTCGGCTCCATGGTTGATAGTACGGAATTTTTCGTGATTCTATTTCTGCGTTTTCGCATGTTTGGCTTATGGCTTCTTTTGTGCATGGAATAGAGTTTTTGATGATATGCCACTTGTGTGTTTCACCTTGTAATGATAAAGCATGGAGAGGCCAAAAACATGGCTCTTGTTGCTGCATCACCTTAGCCACTGAAGTACTATACTTTTGGGGAATGCGTGCCTCATCACCAAAGTACTATATTTGTTATCCTGTATCCAGTAGGAGTTAGCAGCATACCAAAGTTTAAATCTTATTAGGAGAAATATTCACGTTTTGTATTCGATAGTGTCTCAACAATATTACCTACATATACATGGCAAAAAAAGGAAAAAAAAAGTCAGATTTAAATATCAAGAAGTCTAATAGAAAAAGGATCTAAAAATGAAGTATTAAACATTTAGCCTTATTCAAGAGAAATTGAGTTATATTCTTCTCACCCGATTATCATTATTTTTGTACTGTTCTCTTTTGAAACAATTTACTATATATAAACACATTAGGAGAATAGGGTGATGTCCTACATCAGAGGATAAAACAGTATGGTGGTTGGTTGCCTTTATTTTTGCATTTCTTGATGGTCCGAATGGTTAAAATTGGCATTAGGAGAACAAGTGGTTGGGAAGGAGATATTTTTTCCTTGTAAAATTGTAAAATGCCTAACACCCGTTATATCTCTAATATAATAAGTGAGGGACTAAATTTACATCCTTTCTTTTTGGGTGAGAAATTTACATCCATTTACTTTTAGACATTATGTCTAATTCTTCAGTCATTTAAGACATGAATTTTTTTTTAACTAATAAAACTTTATTTGGATAAACTTAGAAAACTTTGTTAAACTATCGGTAATAATAATGACAAAATATAATTAAAGAATTGAACCAAATAAACACTCCTTTAGTTTTATTTATAAGGCACAGAAAGGAGATATTTTTTATCCTATTTATAGGACACTAAGAAAAGTTCTTTATATAAATGTATAATTTTATCCTTTATTTATTATTGTGTTGACTTTTCTTATATGAGATATAATATATATTAAACAGGGATAAAATTAAAAAATTGTTAAATTTTAAATAAGAGTTAATGAAGTTTAAAATTTTTCTTAATCGGTGTAAAATATGTTAAAAGTGATTTATAAATAAGATCAAAGGAGTATAGGTGAATTGACTTAAATTTCATAGAACAATGATGCTTGTCATTATTATTTTTTGTTTGTGTATATATAAAATGTATTGATCATAAACATGAGTTTTTTAACTATCATCTTTCTATCTTCTATTTTTTGGAAAAAAAAAAATTATATCAATGGCATATGCACTCATTTCCAACCAAAAATCTAGGTTGGTTCAACTGAAGAGATGGGAGAGGAAGTGCTTTAAGGACTCGACTTCTTTCCCTTATCCTTCCCCTCTACTACCCCTCCTCCACTTTCCTCCCTTTATTATCATTGTATTAAAATTTCAAAGGTTCAAATGTAATATTTTATGAAAATATTATTACAAGTTTACTTTAAAAAATATGTAAATAAATTTTAGCTGTTAAAATTTAATCTAAATTTCATCCTAAAACCTCAGTTTGGAAAGGAGGGCCATGAGGTACGGGGAAAAAAGATGAAGTCTTGCCTCCCCTCCCCTTCCCTGCTCCAAAAGGTCCTAAACGCAACCGAGGCCACGGGATGGCATTTTTTTTTTGGGGGGGGGGGGGGATGGACCAAAGGAAAAGCCTTAGTTATGTGAAAGGGGTCGATGGTGGATCACTTAATATATATATATATATATATATATATATATATTCTTACTTATAAAAATAAGGTCTAACGGAAGATATTATTTTCTCACAACATAAAAAACTAATAGTTTAAACTCTTATTAAGAGAAGTGTTTATATTTAGTGTACAAAAACATCTTAGCCTCTACCTTTTTTCTCCAAAATGAGTGAGACAAAAAAAAAAAAACAAATACAATTGGTTCATAGGCACGCTCATAATATGTAAAATTATTTTAAAAATGCTTTATTAAACAATGTAGAAGATGTAACCTCAACTTAACCACAGAGCACATGAGCTTTTCATAAAAGTTACAGTTTGGGCGTGCCAGAGAAAGTGAAGTTTTTCTTCCCACTTTATTTCGGTTGAAGCATCTTAGCCTCGTCACACATTGGGAAGCTTTTTGTCTTATGCTAGATACCTTACCAAACTGCGGTGGGCTGCAAGTAGGGGTGTTCACGGGACGGATCGGGACCGGGACAGGCCCGTCCCGGTTCCGTCCCGGTGAACAGTAACGGGACAGATTTTCTGTCCGTGTCCCGGCCCGTCCCGGGGTTGTCCCGGTCCCGGTCGGGACGGGACGGATCCGGGACGGGACGGGACGTCCCGAAATTATTATTTTTTAATTTTTTTTTTAATTTTTTTAATTTTTTTTAAAAATCTGATTTTTTTAATTATATTTTTTTGAGCTTAAATCTTATAAAAACATCTTTTTTATTTGTTTGGGCATTCTTAAACAAAAGCTCAAAATATTACATATAATAGTTATTAAAAACTCTAAACAAAAGCTTTTAACACAATAAAAACTTGCTAAAAATTCTAATCATCAATAATCTCAAATCATTAACAAATATAAAAACTCTAAATAAATATATCCATAGTTCCATACAATAGTCTCAAATCTTAAAAAAAAATATGAAAAAAATGAAATTATATAAAAATTAAAGAAATTAATTTTTTTTTTTTAAAAAAAAGGAACCGGGACGGGACCGGGACGGGACGACCCCGTCCCGTGTCCCGTCCCGTCCCGTCCGGTCCCTTTTTTGTCCCGTCCCGGTTTGTCCCGTCCCGAAAAATTTCGGGACGGATCCGTCCCGTCCCAATAAGACGGGACCGGAACGGGCCGACCGGGACGGGTCGACCTTAAACACCCCTAGCTGCAAGCACCGTTAGGGAAAAATAAGGATTCCGTGCTTAAATATTTTGGAAGTAGTCACAAAAAAACACCTAACACTTAAAAGTTTTTTCAGCTTTTATATATCTTAAAAATTTTATTTTATAGCATTTTTTTATGAACTGTTATCCACCATTAGTTTTGACTTTAAAAACACTAGTCAAACTACCTAATTTAACAGTTAAAATCAATGATAAATAATGGTCAGGATATTTTTGCTATGAAAATAACCTTCCAAAGCATATAAGAGCCAAAAAAATTTCAAATGTTGGATGTTCTTTCGTGGATACTTTCAGAATATTTAAACACATTATTCCAAAAATAATAATAATGAAAAATTAATTTGCAGGATATTATGATTTCAACTGATTTTTAATAAGGTATATATTTTTAATCAGTCCTTGTAGTTTTATTTGATTTTAATCAGATTCTAGTATTTTTCCTATTTATCATCTTCATAATTTCATACAATTTTTAATTAAATAGTTGTATTTTAGATAACTGATATATATATCTATATATTGATGTTATTCTTTTATTTGCTGGATAGTAACACACAATATTTGAGCATATGTTTTGATTAATACTAAGGGGGAAGCATTTAAATTCAATTTCATGTATTCAAATAAAACAAAATTCAAATTCCCTCCGGCTTCGGACAAAGTTGCTGTGGATGCGGTGTTGTGTGCCACGTCATCACAAGGCTGAACTATTGAGAAAGGGATTGAAAAAATTACATTATCAGGCCCACGTCTTAATAATTTCCAATTCCAACCACAGCACACGATGTAATTAAAAAGAAAAAGAAATAAAAAAAAATTTAGTATAAAAGGATGCTATCCAGACTTTTAACTCATTTAATTAAGTACCTATTGTTATTATATTTACGACACTTATTAAGTTCTAAAATGTTATCAGATTTTATGAAAATTATAAGGGGAATAAATCTGATTATTTTTACCTTTACAACCAAATTTAAATTTTAAGATCTTCAACTTAAGATTGTAAGATTTAATTCTTAGACATTTTTTCGAATGGAACTAATAAATTCACTGGTAAAATAATTACTAAACACTATAAAATTTTATAAAACACAAGTTTCTATAAAATAAAAAAAATTATACTATATACGTTTTGGTAGACCATTTAAATTAAAAACCATATTTAATTGAAAAATAAAACATACTTATCTTTACTTAAGTTAAATTTTTATATTTTCTATTCAAACAAGCTAAACTAATTCCATGGATATAAATTTAATCATGGCCAATTTCAATTTCAATTTCAATTTATATGGAATCACGAAATCTTTGTCACATCAATTTCCCGAAGTGGGCCTGTTCATACACAAATCTTTATTCACACACAAATGCTCGCAGA